TAATTAAAAGAAAATAACTAGCAACTGTCAATTTTATTTGGAAGAACGATAGTGATTAAAGATGTTTATTAAAAGCTTTATGAAAAAATGTGTGATAAAAAGGATTTCAAATAAAGTTGTTTATTTGTGGTCTTTGGCATTAACTTTTCATTTTAATAAATTTTAAAAACTATTATGAAAGTATTGCAAATTTTAAAAATCACACTATTAAACGTCTCATTTTTCTGAAAACAAGAAAATGCCTACTTATTACCTGATGAACTTCCTGAAAAGGAAAAAAAATCTGAGAAATTCATCAAAACTCACCTAAAAACATGATCAGAATATATCAGTGTGTTTCACATGGATATGCATATTTTAAGAGTTATCTATATAATTCTTAAAAAGTATGTGTATTTGTATGTGTCTATGTGGGGGCATGTGCACAACAGTGAGATGCCCACAGAGGACAGAGGCATCGGATCACCCTGGAGTTACAGACAGGTGTACCTGCCATGGGTGCCTGAAACTGAACTCACGCTTCTGAAAGCAGTATATGCTCATAACTGTTGAGCCGTATCTCCAACACATGGCATGCGTGTTTTAAATGAAAGAAAACTGTAAGAATATTCAGCACTCCAGAAATGGAATCACTACCTTCAACAGGTCTACCCTTCAATGTTGCCACTGTTTAACAAGTGTTATCATAATGCTGCAGGATGCTGTCTCAGGGACAAACTTTAAATAAACGTCTAATTCTTCAGATCCTGAACCTGAAGCAAAGGTTTCTAACATTCAAAACAAAGAAAATGCTAAAACATTACTACTTATTATTTATGAAGACTTTCAACTCTCTAGACGTGTTCCTCACCTGGCAACTGGCAATCCTCACTAATAAACATGCCACTGCTCTCCTGTCTCTGTCAGTCACAAGGACTTTCCTCACAAGTCTCTCAGTGGAGAGAAACTGCAGGAGACAGAGAAAAATATCCGCCCAGTTTTCTCAGTAATTACAGTAGCACTGGAGATGACTTAATGTTCCTTAATAAACAAGCACTTGATGAAGGTACTGCAGGCAGGTACCTGAGTATCATGTGGATGCATGCTCATCTAAATAAATCTGGTTTTCATTTTTATTAACACAAATACATTTTTAATCTTGATTTACAACTGAAATTTCATCCAATGGATATAAAACAACAGGACTAAACTCTGGGGGGAAACATCTCTATAAACATCAACCATCTGGCTGGAAATGTAGCTCCAGGGTGCCTAGCACAAAGTCCTGGGTTCAATCTACAGTACTACCAACACATAAGCAAAAACAAACACACCAAATATCAGAAAACATGACCAGTATTATTCTGAGTTAAAGTTCTTAAACCTACAGATCAGCTTTGAAATTTACAATCTGTATTGATCGGCACCTTCAAGTCCAGATCTCAAAGTATATCCTTCATAAGCATAAGGCACCTAGGCACATTTTGAAGACCAAGATAATGAAAGTTTTCCTTCAGAAAATCACATCCAATAATTACCAGTTCTTACCATTTTGCTGATGCGCTGCTGAAAAATTACTGTTATTAACTAAAAGCAAAGCTGGGGAGTAGAACCTACTCAATTTCTGCATACACACATACAAATGCATATGCAAATTTTGGAAACTTCCCACATTTTCAATCATAAAAAGTAGAAATAATTACAAGCAAATACTTGTCACAATACTAGCTTACACAATGATGTTAAGAAAAAAAAAACCACTAATGGGAAATGTACAAATATCCTAAAAAGAAAAAATCCTCAAAAATATCCAAGAATTATATTAACTAAAGAACTACTGACTAGTTGCAATTTAAGTGTAACATAAGTCCAGTATGCAATCAATTATACTAAGCAATTGTAGCTAATGCAAAATAGAAACAGGCTAAAACTTTACAATGTGGACAGCAGCCACGTTAACAAGAAATACTAGAAAACGTCAAAGAAAGAGAAAGTGTCAGCATGTCTGTTAATATTTGATATTTTATCTAAAAAGGAGGAAAATTTTTAGCATTTGGAAATAATGTGCCATCGTCAAAGAAAGAGAAAGTGTCAGCATGTCTGTTAATATTTGATATTTTATCTAAAAAGGAGGAAAATTTTTAGCATTTGGAAATAATGTGCCATATCTGCTTTTCTAAGGTAAGAATAAAGGCCCAAAGTCTAGAAAGAAAAGTTAACTTTAATATCTGATATGAAAAAAATCTCAAAATACCCAACATGCTACTACAATTGACACATATGTTTAAATACTCATTTACTGTCTTCAAATAAAGTCTGTATATGGTAACCAACAGTCACAACTGCCCAAAAATAAAGACAAAGGAATAAAAGATTCAGCTAGCACTAATCAAAGACACTGTTATATAATTAAATATTTATCTGATGCATGCAGGTGTGTGTGCACCACGGTAAACATGTAGAGGTCTAAGGATGACTTGCAGAGGTCAGTTCTCTCCTTCTGTAACTGGGACCTGGGGACTGAACCCATGTCATCGGGCAACAAGCACCTTTACCCACAGAGCCGTCTCTCCAGCCCCTTTCCTTTCTTTTCTGAATATCATCTAATACAAATTAGCTGGCTGAAGGAGTCACTTTACGAGAATCCTCAAGAATTACACAAGAATTCAAGAAACAGAAGAAAAACATTCCCCCTCCTCAATATGCTTAGCTTATTAACTATACTATGATCACATCTAATGAAAACAAAACAATTTAAAATACTTAAGAGACCTGTTTTCTAAAACCTTCAAACTTCTAGTCTATCTTAAACTTTATGATCTAACATTACAGCCTAAATTTCCTCAAAAATCTTTTTTGACCATTTAATCTGAAGTACTTGCGCCATCAGAATACGTACAGTTTTCCTATAGAATTCATCCTGTAATTACTCATATAGTGTCTTTTAAAATCTTGTAGTTCCTTTCCTATGCAGGATATCTGAGCGTGTGTGCTATTCGGACATGTGAAGGACATATGCATGAATATGAACATTCACAGTCTTAAGAGAAATGGACACAGCAGGCAGCACTAAGGAGCTGGCCACACATGTAAGTAACACGAGTGAATGAACAGAACTCAGGTAGAGAGAAGGAGGCAGCTGCAAAGGGAAAAGAAGGGGGAGGCGACTAAGGTAACACCCTCATAAAGAAAATGTTTGAGAGCCCGGATGAAGAGAGCAGACAGCCTACTTTAGGAAGGAAAACAGTGTGATCATGTAGCTGAAGAGCAAGGCAGGCGGAAAGGTTTCACTAGTGGAAGATAGAGTCAGAGAGAAGGGCTCTGGACACTCGGCCTGGCACAGGAATATACACTGGCCTATAATCCTAGTACTCAGAAGACTGAGGCAGGAAGATGACAGTTCCAGGCCTACTTGAGCTACACAATGAAACCGCCACCTTGAAAAAGAAAGAAAGGGCTTGAATGCCAAGCCAAGGCATATAACTCTCACATACATTATCTATAAAATGAGGTTATTAACACCCAACTCAAAGGCTGTTCAAAGGGCCAGGGCCATACCTTGATGGCCTAGTGTTCACCTCAAAGCTGCATGGTCTAATATAATCACCAGCAGTGCAAGCAAAAAAAAAAAGAAAAAAGAAAAATTAATTGGTCTTACAATTTGGGCTTTTTAAAGAATTAAATGAGATGATGAATTTAATGCACTTAGCAGAGGCTTATCATGTGATATCATCATGGCCATCTTCTATTTGAAGGGCAGAGATAATAATTACTCTGTCTCCTTCACAATGCAAATGTATGAAGAGTCCAAATATTTGTAACCTTGCTGTAGGATGTTCTGTATGGCAAATGTGTTGCTCTGATGGTTAGTAAATAAAACACTGATTGGCCAGTAGTCAGGCAGGAGGAAGTATAGGTGGGACAAGGGGGAGAAGAATTCTGGGAAGTGGAAGGCTGAGTCAGAGACACTGCCAGCCGCTGCCATGACAAACAGCATGTGAAGATGCCGGTAAGCCACAAGCCATGTGGCAAGGTATAGATTTATAGAAATGGATTAATTTAAGATATAAGAACAGTTAGCAAGAAGCCTGCCACGGCCATACAGTTTGTAACCAGTATAAGTCTCTGTGTTTACTTGGTTGGGTCTGAGCGGCTGTGGGACTGGCGGGTGACAGAGATTTGTCCTGACTGTGGGCCAGGCAGGAAAACTCTAGCTACATAACCTGAAAAAAATTCAATCTGTAATCAACAATACGGTCCTTCAATTCCACCCCCTAACAGCAGTGACAATAAAAACCCTTTTGTTTTCTATGACTACCACCATGTGGTCATCCTAAGAAGCTTTAACAAACACATTAAGGAATTCCAAAGAATAAGAATTCACAGATAGATAAAATTACTGAACATCAAAGTGAGTATTTTCCTTAGTCAAGATATATAGGGTTTTATTCAACTATAAAGAAACTTAGGTTAAAATTGTTCCAAAAAGTGAGTTGATGAAAACTACATCATTCAGCAAAGCTAAGTGTTTGAGGGTTTTGCTGATCCTTTATGAATATTATGACTCTCCAAAGGCAGCCTCTCTCATATTTTAACCAGCAAACCCTTTTATCAGGTAAACACCCACTACTAAAACATGATTAGGGTTCTTCAATGTCACATCTAAATAACCCAGCATTAATAATGATCATAAATATTTAACATCATGTGAATGGATAATGTGAGATTAGAAGATACCTTGAGAATGATGTTGAAGAAGCAAAACATCTTAAATGCATTTAATTAAAATCTTTAGATATTAGTCAGTATTCCTGATATTTTATATCTACATTCAATAGACATCTAATCATTTCATAATACTTATTCATCAGGTAACATGTACCTGATGAATATGGGCATATTTTCTACAGAGCTTTATCATTTGAGATGCTGACATAAGCTCAAACAGTCCTCATCACATCAGGAACAACAGGAAAACAGTCTTAAATAGCACCTAAAGCAGTAAAACAGGCCATTTTTACCTGGGATTTCCTCTCAGTGCAGCATGATGCAGGGCATTGAACCCATTGTTGTTAGTGATGGTCACATCTGCTCCAGCTTCCAAAAGAACTGCCAGGATGTCATCCCGCTTCTTACTTATGGCATCATGGAGAGGGGTATCACCTTCAGAATCCTTTTATTTTTATTTTTTAAGTTTAAAGAGAGTTCCATTAGTTCTCCTTCCACTGAGCACCACATCAACAGCGAAGACTTCCGCTGAACTTCTAAATAAAGAAGCAAGCTCGCTAACAAGCAAACAACTGTCAGTCAGCAACCATGCTTAGAGTTCTTGTTGGTTTGCTGTTGAGAGGGAGGTGGGAATGGAGGTGGTTGTTTTTTGAGACAGATTCCCACACTGCGGCCTGAGCTGACCTTAAACTTGCTCTATATAGTTGCAAATGGCTTTGAACTCTAATCCTCCTGCCTCTACTTTCCGAGTGTTGGGATTACAGGCGTGTGCTAACACACCCAACTTCACGTCCTATTAAATATAAAATGCAGGCAAAAAAAGGCAGGGCTGGAGATGTGACTCATTTGGGAGAGCACTGGTCTTCCATGCACAAAGCCCTAGGCTCTATCTCCAGCATCACATGAAACGGCCATAACAATACACACCTGCAATCCTGGCACTTGGGAGGTGAAGGCACAAAGGGCAGAAGTTCAAGGTCATTATTGTCTATAATGTGAGTTCAAAGCCAGCCTGGGCTACAAGACACCCAGTCCCAAATAGTAAAACAACCTACAGCAGCAGTCTCAGGCCCCACAACAAGGAGTTTAAAGCTAGTGGTTTTCAGCCTTGACTACACAAGTATCGACAATTCTTCAGTTTCCTATATATTATTATAATATGCAAAATTGGTGAGAATCAACAACCAAAGTATTTTCAAAGGGCAGGAAAGTAGCTGCATAGTTGAAAGTACAAACAAATGTAATCAAAAGTTGTAATGTCTAAATCTGCTTTTTTAAAAACAGTATCTCTGTCTAAGGGGTATGGTGTGTGTGGTCCAAGCAGAAGTGCAGGTGTGCACATGCAGAAGTGCAGGTTGCACACCCATGCACATATCCACAGAGTCCAGAGGAGAACATCAGGCATCTTCCTCCACTCTCCCACTTCTCTGACTAAATCATAAGTTTACTGTTTCAGCGAGGCTGACCAGCCAGTGAGCTTTGGGACCCACCTGTGTCCATCAACCCAATGCTGGGGTGTGAGCATGTGGAGCCATGCCCAGCTTTTTGTGTGGGTGCTAAACATCTGCACTCACGTCCTCTTGCTTGCGCAAGTGCCCTCACTCACTAGTCATCTCTTCAGTCCCTCAATCCACCTTTTCTGGAGGTATTTATCATTAATCAATTTACTTAGCAATAAATTCTAATTAAATACTAACTGCCTGCATAAATGAATTATTTAGAGCTTATACAATGTATAGTTTTACAAAATCTATATATAGCCTACCCTCTAGCATGTAGCACAGCTATCAGATCCAGCTTTCCACCTGTTGTTATAAACGAAAACTTACTGGAACCTATATAAAGCATGCCCATTCACTTATGTATTAGCTATGATTACTTCATTTTATAATGGCAGAGCTGTATGGTCTTGAAACAAAACACGTGAAAAGCCACAGTACCATCTGGCCCTTTACAGGAAATGTTTTCAAATCACAGGCACCCACCCACATAAGGTATTCCTAACCCAAATTCAATCCAACCACCTACCTTCTATGTGGTAGCACTAAAAATGTGTGGCATCTCACTTGAGGAAACCTCTTAACGTGCTTGGAACACCCTTCCACAGGTCCCTGGTCTGTCCTGCTTTCTGGTCCCCACAACAGCTATTCCAAAGCACAAGTCTCAATTACGCTTTGTCTACCCTAATCCCAATTCACATTCCCTACACATAACTTTGCCTCCCATTTCAGACAGAAAGGTGAGTAGATCTAATTCCTTTTTTTTTTTTTTCAACAGATCACCCTCAGTTCATTCTCCATCCTTCCTTCAATTCTGCTACCTACTTATAAAGCCACATCCTAGACCTTGTCACTCCAGAAAAATTACTTCCTAATAACAATTTGCTGAACAGCACCTCATACTCTCTTCCAAAGCCACTGCTCCAACTACTCCACTCTTCAGCCACATCTTAAGATCTAGGAATTCTGTGCTGAGAATCATTCATACCACAAGCTAATTAAGTTCAGAATGATTTCTCCCACTGTGTTCTAATTATTACTGAGTTTTCAACTTAAGGAAAGTAATTCTACATATTCAAATAGTGTTTCAAGGACCACTTTTATTTAAAAATAGTAAGTATTTCAAATCTATTTTGTTAAAGATGATCAAGATAAAGAAAGGCTAGGAAGGAAACTAAACACTGATATATTATGATTATGTGCTATTTACTTTGCTATGAAGTTAAGTATTCATTCTAAATTTTAACCTTATCTGTATACAAAAGACATTAATAACCAAATGAACACATCACGGATATAGACTGTGTTTCTCTTACATATGTGGGTTAAGTTAATCTGGTTGCTGAATGAGCTTTAAAAAAAAATCATTTCTTAGGTAAAATTTTTGCCTCAAAAATTAGGCTACTTTCCTTTCTACTGTAAATCAACAAAACATATTTTCCAAAACAGATCTAAGCCAAGAATCTAGAATAAATTAAACTATAATGAAAATATTTAAATAGTTATGAAGTAAGTTATTTTATATCAGCCTGTATCTTGGATATTCTTCACAATAACAAATTTACCACAGAACTTACTACATCCCTTTAACAGCGTTCTACCAAGGCCTGCTCAGTATATTCCTTTCCAGTCTTACCTGGAGACTGGGGTGACAGCCGAAGTCCAGCAGAGTCTTCACAACCTGAAGATGACCTTTATTGACAGCGATATGCAGAGGTGTCTGCCTACGCTTATTACGAGCATTCAAGTCAGCGCTGCCTCGGTGCAGGACTTCGATAACAGCACCCTCATCTCCAAAGGCTGCATGGTGAACGGCTCGATCTCCATCTTTATCCTGAATATCAGCATGAAAGTTCAATCGGTAAAGAGTCAAGAAAGAAAAGCTGAAGCTATAAAACACCATGAACCAAACTAACTTCAGGAAAACTGTGGAAAAATATTTAAATAGTGAAACCAATAAAAGAGCTCGAAATTGACTTAACAATTACAAACGATAAAACAAACCAGTTATATTACACCATATTTAAACTGGACCTAAATCAACACAAGGAGTACCTTATTAAAACTGTAGTGCCAGGGGATGAAACCTAGGGTCTCACACAGGTGAGACACGTGCTCTACAGCTATGTGCACCTGGCTCTTAACAACCTTTCAGACAAGATCTCACCATGGAACCCTCCTGCTTCAGTCCCCCAAGTCCTGGTATTTCCAGCTCAATACTTCTAAGTTACGTGAAAACTACAGTAGCATCAGCTGAGTGCTAACAAAAAGTATGCAAAACAATGCAGTCTTCTTAATTAAGTAGAAATTCGACATTACATCAGTCACAGCTACATCTAAGTGCTGAACTTACCCACTTCTGTATATGTGAGAACAGAAAAGTCTTACCGAATAATGCACCAGTAAATTCCACACTTCCAAAATTCTAGAACTCTTTCATATGACTTAAACTTGGTTGGTGTGTTGTTGCTGTTTTGTTTGTAATGTTACAGTTAACAAAACAAGCTAACATTCCTACTTTATATATAGACATATGTTCCACCTGGAACTCCAATGACAGTATTTACTGCCCTTTTATAACAAAGTTAAGCATATGCACTTGTAAGGATAAAAATGCACTGTAAATATTTCAAAATAAAATAAAACTAAGCAAAAGACAATTACATTGTAAGAAAATAGGATCTCTGAGTGTTAGCTAAGAAAGACTTTGATCCCAAGGGTATACATTCCCTTAATAAATTTTTAATAGGAACTGTGGGTAAGCCCATCAAGGCTCCCAACAGTGTTTCTACCCTGGTAGAAGGAAACCATGTCTAAAATGTTGAGGAATCATTAAAAAGAGAGAGAGGGAAGGATGGAGAGAAAGGAGGGAAGGAAGGAGGGAGGAAGGGAGGGAGGGAGGGGGAGAGAGAGAGAGAGAAAGAGAGAGAAGAAAGCTTTTAACTACCGTTTCTCAATTTTTCATTTGAATCTGGACAACACTAGATGAATATTGAATTTCAAGAATGAAATTCCATCTTGTATAGACTTATGTCTAGAAAAAGTATACTTAAAATGTTTTCAAGCTTACTTCACATACCTCTGCTTCCACATCTACATTTTGCTTCAAGAGCAACTTCAAAATATCAACATGTCCATTTTGACTAGCAGCTTGCATAGCTGTGTGGCCAGCACACTGCCCATTTACCTAAAAAAGAAAGAAAAAAAGTTAAGACACGTCACAAATCAGAAATAAGCCTATAGATAGATAGATAGATAGATAGATAGATAGATAGATAGATAGATAGATGGATGGATTTTTCCATCATGTATAGCATATGATTCTTTGAGAATAATCTAACACTACAAACATCACAACAAAGATGATCAACACTATTTAAAGACATGAAAGAGAGCGTGTGTCTGTACGCACATGCATGTGGAGGCCACAGGTCCAGATCAGGATGTCTTCCTTGACTGCTCTCCACCTTATCTTTTTAAAACAGGGTCTCTCACTGACCCCGGAGCTCACTGACCACCTAAAGGACCTGGCCAGCAAGCTCCAGGGATCTCCTTCCTCTGCCTCCACAGTACTGGGATTACAGGTATGCCACTATGCCAGCCTACTGCTTGTTTAAAGGTAGGTGCTAGGAATCAAACCCAAGTCCACAGGCTTGAACAACATGCACTTTACTGACTCAGCCATCTTCCCAGTCCCTTGCCCTTTACTTTTCTACTTTGAAGTGTTTACTCAGCTTGAATAAATTAAATGCAAATAAAACTTAAGCTACAATATATAGCCTGAATAGAAATGATCAGATAAACATAGAACTAGACTTGTCGGTATTACTCAGAAAGCATGTGACAGTTTAGAAAACAAAAGAATCAACTACGTCTTTGAAAAGATAATAACAGCAATTACTAATATATCACAAAAATAAATGTATAGTGTAAGTTTCCTGACATGCATTTTCTGTATGAACTCAAATGACTATGCTTAAATGGACTTTTGACAGAAGTAAAGCAAAAATTTTGCTTTAAATTTTTAGTACAGATGACATTGTTAAAAGTAACTTTAAGGGGCTGGAGAGATGGCTCAAAGGTTAAGAGCACTGACTACTCTTCCAGAGGTCCTGAGTTCAATTCCCATCAAACACATGGTGGCTCACAACCATCTATAATGAGATCTGGTGTCCATTCTGGCATGCAAGCAGAACACTGTATACATAATAAATATATAAAATCCTTAAAAAATTTTATTTTCAAAAAAAGACAGACTTGGCTGGCCAAGCAGATTATAATTTTAAGGAAAAAATAAAAAGGCAAGACCCAACTATATTTTGCTTACAAGAAACTAATTTCACCTCTAATGATACACACAGAGACTCAAAATATAGGCATGAAATAAGATAATCCATACAAATGGAAAACAAAGAAAGCAGTAATCACCCTATTTGTATCAGATAATATAGACTTTAAATTCAAAGTAGTAAAAAGAAGCAAGAAGTCTGAGGCAAGCCTGAGCTCCATGACAAGCTGAAGAACAGTGGAGTACACAGCAGGACCATGGTCAAGAAATCCAGGGCAGCCAGGTGGTGGTGGCGCACACCTTTAATCCCAGCACTCAGGAGGCAGAGGCAGGCAGATCTCTGTGAGTTCGAGGCCAGCCTGGTCTACAGATCTCTGTGAGTTCCAAAGCTACACAGAAAAACCCTGTCTCGAAAAGCCAAAGAAAAGAAAGAAAGAAATCCAGGAACAGAGATTCACTCAGTCAATAGATTCAATTTCTATTTTTAATAGAAAATACTCAGTACATCAACACAGTTGTGTTGGATAGTTTTATGTCAACTTGACACAAGCTAAAGTCATCTGAGAGAAGGGAACTTCAATTAAGAAAATGCTTCCAGGGCTGGAGAGATGGCTCAGTGGTTAAGAGTACTGGCTGCTCTTCCAAAGGTCCTAAGTTCAATACCCAGCAACCACATGGTGGCTCACAACCACTTGTAATGAGATCTGGTGCCCTCTTCTGGCCTGCAGCCATATATGCAGGTGGAATACTGTATGCATAATAAATAAATCTTAAAAAAAAAAAAGAAAATGCTTCCAGAAGATGGGGTTATATGCAAGCCTGTAGGGCATTTTCCAAATTAGTGATTTATTGGGGGAGGGCCCAGTCTACTGTAGATGATGCCATCCCTGGGCTGGTGGTCCTGGGTTCTATAAGAAAGCAGGCTTAGCAAGACACGAGGAGCAAGCTAGTAAGCAGCTCCCCTCCATGGCCTCTGCATCAGCTCCTGCCTCCAGGTTCCTGCCCTGCATGAGTTCCTGTCCTGACCTCCTTTGATGATGAAGAGTGATGTAGAAGTGTGAGCCAATTCTTTCCTCCCCAACTTTGCTTTTTGGTCATGGTGTTTCATTGCAGCAATAGAAATCCTAACAATAGAAACCCTAGCAAGGGTTTAACATTTCACTTTCATCATCAGACAGAAAGATCAGTCAGACAAAAATCAAAGGAAAAGCAGATAAATCACACTTTAAACTATAGAGAAACTAAGAGAAATCTATACAGTATTTTATCCAAATATTGCAGAATAAACATTTTTCTTAACAGCACACAGAACACTCTCTCAGATACATTATATGATAGTCTACAACACAAATTTCAACAAAATCTTTAGAATAAATTATATTGAGCTTTTTTTTCTGACTACAGTATGGTTTAAAAACAAACAAACCACTAGGTTTGGTAGGTTTGGAAACTATACAGTGTTTGCGGAAATCAGCGATTTATGCATAAATACTGGATCAAATTAAGTTAAAGCAAATTTAAAAGCTCTTGAAACAAAAATGTAAATACAGCCAAAAATCTGTGGACTAGGACAAAAGCACTACTCAGCAAGTCTGTCACAATCACCTACATGAAAAGGCAAAAACTGGAGGTATAAACTCAGTAGCAGAGCACTTGCCCAGCACATGTAATGCTCTGGGTTCAGTCTACAGACCTATCAAAACAAAACAGTGGTTCCTGCCTGCAATCCCAGTGCTCAGAAGTAGAGACAGGAGGAATACAAACTGGAGGCCTGCTTGGACTACACAGAGTTCAGAGCCAGCCGGTCAGAACAACACAGTAAGATCCTGCCTCAACAAGCCAAGAGATACCCACCCACCCTAGATGGTAAGATCCTACTGATGAAGACACCACACACTTTGGCTGCAAGACACAGATAAATCAATCTCAGCTTCCACTGTGCCAAAAGGTGCTCCACAGGCTGCTGGGGAGAAAAGTCCCCAGTGGCCCTGCCCAGCACCGGACCCTGCCTACTCCACAACTGACAGCCTGGGGGAAGGTGCGCCTCCACTTTGCTTTCACTGTTGTAAACGCTGCTGCAATAGTGCTTTTGTCCTAGTACAGATTCTTGATTATGCTATACTTACATTTTTGTTTCAAGAGCTTTTAAGTTTGCTTTACTTTTCCTTGATCCATTATTTATGTGTAAACTGTTGACTTCTACAGTATATAATTTCCAAGCCTACCTTCTTTCTTTTTTTCTATACTGGTGTAGTACCACAGTGCTACAACGCTAACCTGCCTGGTGCAACAGTGGCGTGACTTTATGAGAGGAACCAACTGCACTCTAACTGGCTAGGAAGGATGTCATGCTTGGCACTGAAAAAAAAAAGCTGTGGCTGGATCACAGCCTAAGGAGAACTGTTGCCGAATATTACTCTGTGTAACGGTGCTTTCCGTTAACAATGTAAAGACTGTTTAATTAAATAAAATTAACCTGGGGCCTGGAGGCTGAGTCAGCAACAGGAAATGGTAAGGAAGAACTAAGTGTAGAGAGGGTTCTTTAGTGGAGGCTGAGCAGAAGAATGGCCCCTTTTCTTTCCGGGAGACATGAGCAAGGAGAGGTCAGCTACTTGCTATTCAGCCTCTCTGAGCGAGCAGAATTTCACCTCAACCTTTGAATCCTGACTTCTACAGAAGGATAGAAAATTAGATAAAGTTTCCTTTAGCAGCCAAGATAGTGCCCGAGGGAACAAAATTCCCACTTGGCTGCTGCCCTGCTGCTGCTGGTGTCTGTGGAGTTCTAACTGCCAGTTGGGACAGCAGTTCCTTAAGGTGCAACCACTGCACTGAATGCAAAACGACAGGGAACTTTCTATTGCTTTGCTACAAGATTTTGCTATCAAACTCTTCTCTAAGTTCTAATGTTTATACTCACAGTTTGTGCTGCCCTCCAGTTTGGTCAGAGAAGCTTATTGTTTCATTTAGGTATGGTTAATGTAGAGATTCCCAACTGGTCAACATGCTGAATATAAGTAACAGTGAATGCTCAGCTGTGGGTGGGTCATCTATATCAACCTTCCCCAATCCAAGACTCAAGGAACATCAAAGAAGAGAGGGTGGAAAGAATGTGTCAGCCAGAGAATGGGGAGGAGAGCTGTAAATCTGACTTCTGGACAGGACATAGCTGTTGTACATATCAACCTGCAGCAACTCTAGTTAGCACAAGATCAAGCAGTCAAGATTCCAGCATGGGTGAGAAAGGGGTCCAAGCTGCTGACAGAGACAGGGTCACTGTTCTTTAGGAACATGGCCACTGGTAGGTTGCCAATATCAGAGGATGGCACCACACCCATATCATGCATGTATATGAGCAGAACTACTTGACCTCAAAGTTATTAATAACATTTTCTTTTAAAGAAGGCATGAAGTTGAGAGAGATGGGGTTGATGGCAGTAGGAAGAGCTGAAGGAGGGTGGTGATAAAAATACATTGTATGAATGTATAACGATTCTACAAGTACATAAAAATACTATTTTAAAAAGACCCCAAGGGCTGAGGATACAGTTTAGTAGTATAGCACTTGCCTAGCACAGGTAAGGTCCTGTATCCCAAAGCTCACAACCATGAATGAAGATTCAGATAAAGAGTATGTTAGTTATTAAGGCTTTTCCTTGCTGTGACAAATACTCGAGAATAACAACTTAAGGAAAGTATGATTCTTTTAATATACATTTCTGGGGAGGGTTTATAGTTTCAGACCATCATGGCAAGGAGTATGTGAAGGGGCAGAACAACTCACATCACAATACCCCAGGAGAGAAGGAGAGGGGGAGAGACAGAGACAGAGAGACACAGAGAGAGAAATAGAAAATGCCTATACTGGGCTAGCCTCCCCTCTTTTATTTCATCTGGACCCCCAGTCTATTGGATTGTGTTGCCCACACTAAAGGACAGCCCTTCCCTCCCCACCCCTACCTTATTTTTTTCTGGAAACACACACACGCACGCACGCACGCACGCACGCACGCACACAATTTACCAATCTCCTAGGTGTACCTCAATTCAATGAAGTCAATAATCCAGATTAACCACTACACAAGCTATCTTTGTGCTCCAAGTAAGTACAAAAATACAAACACACCAAATCCAAAATCTGTAGAAGAACAAAATAATGAAGATCAGAGTGTGTGCTAGGTCAGCAGGTGCAAGACCATGAGTTTGAATACCAGAACCACCAAAGGAGAGGATCAGAGTGGAAATAAATAAAACTAAAAATTGAAAATGAAATCAAGAAAACAAAGAGCTGTTCTTTGACAAAATAAAAAAAATAAGACAAATCATAAGCTTGACTAAAGAAAAGGGGAATACTCAGGCAAAATTGGAGATGAAAAACAAACATTACAACCAAGAACATGGAAAACCAAAGAATCACTGAGATGATTATACACAGCCATATGTCCACAATGAACAAATTCATGGATACATACATCCTATCAACACTGAATCTTCACAAAATAGAAAACTTGGATAGAAAGTTACATGGAAGAAGGAATCAATAGCAACGTCCCAAAGACTTACTTCATTCAACTGTACCTCTCAAGGAAGAACTAATGCCAGTTCTCTTCCATTATTATTCCAAACTCTATCAAGCAAGCATTATCTTGATACGGAAACTAGACAAGGACACACCCAAAACAAAACTAGAGGCAAGTACCTTTGATGAACATAAATGTAAAAACTCTTTAAAAGATTATTCATCACAATCATGTGTAGTTCATGCAAAAAAATGCAAAAGTACTTCAACATCTACAATCAATAAACATGATCATACCACTCAAAAAATGAAGGACAGAGAAATGACATGAACATCTCAATGAATGCAGAAAAGTACTTAATAAATCCAGCATCTCTTCATGATGAGAACTGAACAAACTGAATACAGCTGGAATATACTTTAATATGATAAAGGTAATACACATTAACAGCACCTAACAGGCTAAATGAGGGAAAGCTGTCAGATGTGAAACAAGGCAAGGATGGCCACTTTGACCATGCATTTATTCAACCTGGCACTGGTAGTCACAGAGCAATCAAACAAGAGAAAAAACAAAGGGCATCTAACCTGGAAGAGGAGGTCAAACTGTCACTGTTTGTAGGTGACATGATTTCTATACAGAAAACCAGAAAACCAGACAAAGTGGCACATGTCTGTTATCCCAGAATCAGAAGAGCCTGAAGCAGGAGACCTGGCAGGGCTACACAGCAAGATTCTGTCTGAAAAACCCAAGGAAGGGAGAAGGAAAGGATATTAAGTACAAGGGGGAAAAAGGAAGGGAAAGACAGAAGGATAGAGGGCCAGCCCTAAAGAATCCATGAAAACACCACTTGAGTTAATAAATGTCACCAACAAACTGCAAGACACGAGCATTAGCAGCACTGGCATATCTCAATAGCAAGCCATCTGAAGTAGGAAACTTTAATCCCAGTTACAACTGGTACTCAAAAAGCAACTAAGAATAAATTTGACCAAAGAGGTCAAATATTTCTACAATGAAATTCTAAACTACTGAGGAAAGAAACTGAAGAGGACACATAAATACAGAAAGACATGCAAACTTCATGTATTACAAGAATAGAAAAACATCCAAAGAGCCCAAAGCAAGCTACAATGTATCCCAGTGACAATTCCTGACAGAACCAAAAAACTAAAAATCTAAAAAAAGTCTAAAAGCTATGAACACACACACACACACACACACACACACACACACACACACACACACACACACACATCATCATCATCATCATCTTGAGCAGGAAGAACAAAGCAGAGAGTAGCAGAGACTATTACAGTACTGATTTCAAGATATAATTGAAACTGTAATAATTAAAACAGCCAGACATTGACACAAAACAAACAACCCCTGCATCAATAACAAGCTGATTTTTTGGCACTGGCAGCTGAGGATACAGAGTGGAGAAAAGAGTGTTTTCAGTAACTAGTACTGAAAATACTGTCTATCCACATGATGAATAAAAATAGGTTCATGCTTCTTATCAACTGCAAGAGCAAATTCTAAAAGGCTTGAAGACTTCAGCCTTTGTTAAATTACAAAACTACTATTTTTGCATATCCCTCAAAGTTGTTTTTGAAATGCTCACATCCACATCTGGTCTTTTCAGCAAATCTTCCACTTTAGCCACATCCCCATTGGCAGCAGCCTTCACCAGCTCTTCATTGAGGTCACCAGATTCTTGGGTTTCAAATAATTTCTTCAGAAGCTGTGAGAGTCTTTCTGCAAAGCACAAAACAAACTGCTAATAGAAGAACAGATGTTCTCCATGTTCCTAAACCGTTTTCCTGTTTTACTATTTCTACTGTGTACAACTTACCCGTGCAAGTAATAAGCCTTAATACCAAGCTACACTAAATTCAACCCCATAAATAAACTAAAATCACATATTTCAAGTTGTAAATGCAGAAAAAGTAAAGAGTGACAGATTTAAAGTCAAACTAATGATACTATAAACAAACACACTTGCACAGGGAACCCACAATGATACAAATATCTTTTAGGTCTTAATCCTATGGTACAGACCAAAGAACATTACAGACAGTAGAATACTACAGACCATATAAAACTCAACAGAACAACAGTTATGATTCAGAAACAATGCAACCTCTATAGTGTCTTGGAATACACTTTAGGAGCAAATCAATTTTCAGCTGAAAATAAACATATAAATGATAACAGCATACTTTATTAAGTGCCACTTGACTGTTTTTCCTAAGCAGTACACTTAATACAGGAGATTCTAGCCTTTACTTATTACAGTCATTACTCAAAAGGAAAGGAATCAAAAATTGGGTTAAGAGAAAAATTACAAGTTATGCCAACCCCAATTATTTGAGAGTAGGTATTAATTACTCTTCCCTTTTTATTTTATATGTAGCTAAGGTAGCACAATGCAGCTAGCCTCAAAACAGAAATCAACACTGCTGGATTTAAGCTGTCAGTGCACTAGCAATTTGCAACAGGAACTCAAAAGAGAGGAAGGAGAAAGCAGCACAAACAAAAACCTTCAATCTTTCTTTTTGGATACAAGGTCTCAGCCTGCCCAGGCTAACCTCAAACTCGATCCTCTTGCCTCCACCTATCAAATATGACCACAGGCTTGCACCACCATATCTACCAACCTCATGTTTTCCTTTGCACATTCCATTCACTATTATGACTCTGCCTCCCTTACCAGATGGCAAGAATGGACATATAGCAACTTAGAAAACAATACAGAATAAACCTGACTGTGCACACAAAGCTGGGACATAGGAAGGACCGTTAGGACAAGTTTAGCCAAGCACTCAGCAAGTTCACATCTTACCAGTTTCTGATGTTATGGCATCTATAGTAACTTATTAAATGCTAAGAAGAAAAATATGACTGATAATATAACAATATACAGGAAGAAAAACATCTGCTAGCAATAATGTTGGAAACAAAAAGTAAGCTAAGCAAGATAAGGTTTTAAGAAAGAGAAGGTTGTCTGGCAGAAAACGCAAGTTCTGACTAGAGATAAGAACTGAGCTTTAAGTGTCTCAGATCTAGTACAGAGAAGCTTAATATGCCCAAGAAAAAGCACAAATTCATCAACCTTTCCAGAGAGTCCCTCAGCCAGAATGAAGGTTAGTCAGTGCACTAAAAAGAGGGCAAGAGGCTCTCGAAGGGTGGGAGAGGAAGGGAAGAGGACGAGGGCAAGAGAAGAAAAATTTACCAAGGTTTCAATATCCAAATGAATGAACCTATGTTATCTGGAAGAAAACCAAGTGTACATACAAGACGCTCAGTTGCAGGAGAACTCTTTTTGCTGCTGTTTGTTTTTAACTCATGGCTTTTCTGTGTAGCACTGGCTATCCTAGTACCAGCTCTGTAGACTGGGTGACTTTGAACTCAGAGATCCACCTAAATGCTGGGATTAAAGGTGTATGCCACCAGGCCCAGACTGAAAAGTGGGTATTGTTTTTAAGGAAACAAGATAAAACATACCACCAGATGCATTGCTAATGGCTGATCCTGCAGATGCCACCTTGGAAACTGCTGCAGGATTATACGTCCAAGATGTTCCACAAACTTCCACCTTTAAATCACTGTCTGAATAAATCTGTTGTACTCGGCCAACTTTACCTAAAGTCTTAAAAAAATTAAAAGATTTATTATTAAATTCTATCACCACCTTCTGTATTTTTTTTTTTTTTTCAAGACAGGGTTTCTCTGTGTAGCTTTGCGCCTCTCCTGGAACTCACTTGGTAGCCCAGGCTGGCCTCGAACTCACAGAGATCCACCTGGCTCTGCACCACCTTCTGTATTTTAAAGTGTTGATTTTACTTGTTTCTAATTTTAAAAATTTTAAGAGCTAACCATATTCAAATGGATTATTAGTCACAAACTTAACTGTATCTTTAAAACCATCTGAATAATGGGGCTAGAGACACAGCTTAACCACTAAGAACATTAGCTCTTGCTCTTGGTTGGTTCACAATCACCTATAATTCTAGTTCCAGGAGATCTGATGCCTTCTTTTGGACACTGAAGGCACTCACACTCACACATGCACAGATACACAGACAGACATGTAAAAATAAAGCCCAAGGGCTGGAGAGCTGGCTCAGCAGTTAAGAGCATTTGCTCTTGCAGAGGACCAGGTCCAATTCCCAGCACTCACATGGAAGCTCACAACCATCCATAACTCCAGTTCCAGAGGATCTTCTTCCAACCTCTGTGGGCATCAGGCACATACATGGTGCATATACACAAATATAAGCAAAACACTCATACACATAATCTTAAAAAGGCAAAGTAAGTTTTAAATTTTAAAGTCCATATTCTTTTTTTTTTTTCTTTTTTGGAAATAATATGAGGAAACAGGATTATTTGACCTATGAGGTTTTTCACAATCTAAATGTTGCTAATTGGTGTAGCTGCACAGGCTTGTCTGACCTCTGTGTGTGACTAGTGAGAACTTTTCAAACTGGCTGTTCATTCTTTGAGCACAACGCTACGAGTCCCTGATGGTGTCTCTGAGGTCTGGTACAAGATCCGTCCTCACCTAACTTTTCTCTTTAGTAAGGGAGTTATCTGAAGCCATAACCTGTACTATGCTGGTGACTGCTACTACCCTCTCACTCTAACAGGTTTCTCCCTGACAGAAGTCAGCAATAGGGTTTTATTTTCTTATGTTTTTGTTTTGTTTTTATTTTAAAAACTGATTTCTCAGAAAAAAAACTTATTTCTTATTTTAAAAGCATACAGGTGCCCACAGAGACCAAAAGAGAGAATTAGCTCTCCTGGAACTGAGGTTACAGACTACTGTGAGCCCGTTGTGAGCACTCTAACAACTGAGTTTAAATCTCAGGTCACCATTTTTTTAAAACACAAAGTCTGTACTGTCCTAACAGCTATATTTAACAAATATCTTTATATAAATACAAATGCGAACACACATCTCTTTACGCCTTCTTTTAAAGAAAGACTCATGTCTATTCTGTAGTATGAGCAATATTGAGCTAGCCATTCATGTATTCTTATGACACTCCTCCCCACCCCCTTCTCCATACCTTCACATACACTTTTTTGGGGGGTTTTGAGATATGGTTTCTCTGTGTAGCTCTGGCTCTCCTGGAACTCACTCTGTAGACCAGGCTGGCCTTGAAATCACAGACATCCACCTGTCTCTGTCTCCCAAGTACTGTAAACACACACACACTTTTTTAAAAGCAGACTGGATGTGGTATTTATTAGTGAATATGACTAGTGGGGTGTATCACTCCAGCACAGTGGAAGCCCTCAAGAGTGTAAGGCCTTACCAATTTTCCAGAAGACAAGAAGTAGGAATGAGCCACTTCTCAGCTACCATGTCTTCAAATTTATTAAATTTGGTAAAGGCCCACTTCTTTGAGGTAGAATGTTCTAGGGGACAGGGAACTTGAACCTGGCTCTACACAGGTCACTAATCATAGTCCTTATTCTGGGTACAGATAAACATCATGACCTAGCCAATTTGAATCTTAGCTACTTATGCCTTAGAACTTTCCAAAGGTACCTGGATTCCTGTCTAGAACCTAGATGGGGAACAGCACTGAGATCAAAATAAGCATACAGAAACTGTCTAAGGTCCCTTAGGGGAACTCATACAAGCAACAGGCTGAATGCGCAACCGCAGAGGCTGCTATTTGCAGCTGGTGCACAATGGGCTTTCAGTAATTTTAAATAACAGTAGTTCATGCTAGTTAACACAGCTAAAAAGTAAACAATTTATTACTTCTCATGTTTCCTCATTTCCACTTCTGACAGTTGCAGTTACACTGTTAGATTGTACAATCACTGTATGTGTTCCTCTTTCAATTTAATTAACCAAACAAATAAATACATATTGCATAATCAGCTGGCACATTTCTAGTCACCTGGATTGTCTCAACTCTTTAGTAGATTACTCAGAATAGGCTTATGGGAATAGGGCCTTTAAATTCTTACAAACTCAGAGCAATTTACAACCTTTATACTTAAATGTCAGTTTGGTTAAATATATATTTTCTTTTCTTAGTTTTATTAATTATCACTGTTTTCTGGCATGAAACATTGAGATATTTTTACATACAACAAAATGATCTTCCCACTGTGAGCAATAATTTGCCCTTTTTCTTAAAGGTCCAAAGAATTTTTCCTATTCATACAGACTCACTTATTCCATTAGAGTAGGTTTCCCCGGGTTTGCCATGGGTCCTCCCTTTGAAGTCTAGTCTCAAATCTGTTTTCAATTTCAAAAGCATTTAGCTGGAATTACAAGTGTTAGCTTAGTGGTAGGCAGCTGTCTGGCATTCACAAGATCTTAGTTCAAATATTAGCAATACCAAAAAGAATTCTATTTGTTTCAGCCCTTTACTTTTGTTGGGCTTACACATACATATATCAGATATTTCATATTTCTCATTTTCTATAGAATATATTTTTTTCATATTTAAATTTTTCATGCTTTTGAACTTTCTATTGCTCCTACTATCTGTGGTAATTATGTGTGTGTATTCCAACTTAATCATTACTTTTTAAAAAACTTATTTGTGAATGTGTGTGTAGTATGTAAATATGTGTGTGTGTGTGTGTATGTGTGTGACACATACGTTCATGGAGGGGTGTGTGTGGGTGTGTGTATGTGTGTGTGTGTGTGTGTGTGTGTGTGTGACTGATGTCTTCCACTACCACTTTCCGCTTAATTTATTGCATTGTAATTTACTTACTGTGTGTGTTGTAAGTGTGCACCCATGACATAATACAAGAGTGGTGGTCAGAGGACAACTTGAAGAAACAGTCCTCTCCCCTTACCCCGTGGGTCCTGATGATCAAACTCAGATCACCAGCCTTGCTGGCAGGGGCCCTTACTGCTCAGTCAGGGCCGGGGTCTCCTCCCTCCCTCCCTCGCTCCCTCCCTGAGCCTGGCACTCACTCACTGACTAGACTGGCAGGCCAGCGAGCTCTGCTGACTCACCTCCCTGCTGTCCAGTGCTAGGTCACAGATGCATGACTTTTACAAGGGTTCCAGCCACAGGAAATCAGTCCTTCATGCCTGCTTAGAGGGTCTTTACGACTGAGCCATCTCCTTTTCGTCTTCTTAATTCTTTCTTAAGTTCTAACACCTTGCTTCTGTTCTTTCTTTCTTCTGTATCTTGACATGTCCTTAATTTATTTTAACTTATTCTGAATTACTTGAATTTAGCTGTTTATGTTTTAAGATTTATTTATTTATTACATGTACAGTGTTCCGCCTGCACATATGCCTGCAGGCCAGAAGAGGGCACCAGATCTCATTACAGATGGCTGTGAGCCACCATGTGGTTGCTGGGAATTGAACTCAGGACCTTGCAAGATCAGCCAGTGCTCTAACCTCTGAGCCGTCTCTCCAGCCCCACGTTAGCTTTTGTCAGTTTCCTGTGCATAATCTTTCTTCTGTGTGTAGTGATGTTCTGTCCTTTAATCCTGTCTTTAGTAATAACTGCTGCACATGGAGAGAAGATCATTATCCTGCTACCTTTTATCTGAACCTGTTCATTATCCTTTTATCTGAACCTGTTCAGTCCTTTGTCCACATTGTCTCTATTCCACTCAATTTAATTTCCATTCTTAGCACTTTTTCCTTTTAACAGACAATGATGGAAGGGAGCTCTGGATGGTCTCAGCTGATTTTAGCATGAATCTATCATATTCAGCCAAATTGAAGTAAGTAAGAGCACTTTAAGATTCAGCTTCAGTTATAGCACTAATCTCCACACTAGACAATAAGAATCTGGCAGATAACGCAGCAAACAGGTCCTGCTCTCAGGTTTACCGCATGCCCTATCCATTCACTCAGCTGCCATACAGACTTTGATGTGGGCCAAGTAGCTACCAAGTACCAACTTGGCTAGCTACCGATAACTTTGCTAGCTACTCATTTGTATTTTAAGGTAATGCACAAGAGATTTACTTTTCTTGTTTTGTTTACATTTGTATCCTTAAATCTAACAGGTTTATTTTATGTTCTAAAATATCTACTGAAGGAGTACAGCTAGACAGACGGACAGGACAACAGGAAAGACAAGATGGGATAAGGCTAGTCAGGGCAGGAACTGAGGGTGAAGAGGAAGAAACAGAAGCACTGTCCTGAGAAAGGAGGTCTGAACAGCACAGGGTTGGGTGACGAGCTCTAAGAGGAGGAAGCACACAGGATGAGAGTAGAGACAGAACAGAGGGTGAAGAGGAGGACAAAACAGGTCAACAGGAGGGAACAAAGAAAAGAACAGATACATGAAGGACAAAATAAACTTGTTTATTACTGTTGAACAGCTGATGAAATATATACTGAATGAAAAACTAAAAATTAAGCTGTATCATTGATAGCAAAACTACTCTTAGAAGACATGTACATGTACTGTCCCCACATTCCTGCATGTTTTAGGCTCCCTGTAGCAGGAAAGCTGTGGTGCTGTCGACCTACTGAGATGGAAGAGCATGCTGCTCTCTCACTGGGGGACTGAATAGCAGGAAAACCTCTGCCTCCCAATTCTACATTACACCCATTATTGACAGTGTTATCAGAAATACTAGCCCCTTCTGGATCTTTCTAGGCTAATCCAGCTGGAATAAATTAGACATGAGTACATCTTGCTGCCTAGTACACCTAGAATACAATTTTAGAAAAGTGGTGTGTCTCTGTGTGTGTGTATTGTGTGTGTGTGCAAAGCAATCCTTTGCAATTACATTCTAAGTGATTTTTTTAAAATTTAATTTTCAATTCCAATTGTTTCTAAAAGTAATTTGCTTTAATTCATTAATTCTATAAGCAAAATATAATATCTCTTTCCAAATTATTTTACATATTCTTACTGGAAGCATTGCTTCAGCCCATTCGCCGTGTCCTCTTTGGAGAAGTTTAATTCTTTCCAGATCATAACAAACTTGCACAAGATCCCCCACTTGAAACTGTGAGGTGCCGCCTTCTGCACCCTGTGCAGCATCTCCACTCCGGACAATGTTTGCCTTAGTGAGGACAGCAGGATTGAAGGTCCACCTACAAAGGCAGAACCAGGCTCAGAACAAGTGAACTCACTCGACATATCTTTAAACACTGCAGGGAGAACAACCTTGCACACTTCAAAAGAATAAAGCAATCCTCTTACATTCTGGATGATTTTTATTTCTTTGTTTATATAATTTACAATGCTTACCAGCACATACGATACATAAAGAACATCCCTGTGCATCCATCATTGTGAACATAGAGTTGGTTTCTTCAGAGTTGCTTAAGGAAAAGCTTTCTTTCCTGATCCCATATATTTACTCACCATTCTGTCCTAGCCAAACTGCCTACCAAATGCAGCAGCCCTTTAACAAGGGTTCTCAACCGGTGGAGTCACAACTCTTTTGGGATGACAATCCTTCTACAGGCATTGTATACCAGATATCCTGTATATCATACATTTATATTACAATTCTTAACAGCAGCAAAATTACAGTTATGAAGTAACAATAAAATAATTATATGTTTGGGGTCACCACAACACGAGGAACTGTGTTAAAAGAGTTGCAGCATTAGGAAGGTTGAGAACCACTGATCTAGAACACTGCCAATCTCACAGATAAAGGCTCTCTAGTTTTAATTTGCCATGCATAAATGCTTTCCATAATTGTAATACCTGTATCAAAATAAATCTGATCTGGGGCTGTAGCTCAATGATATTGACTGCCTGCCATGCCCAAACCCTGGGTTCAATTTCCTAGGACCACACACAAATAAAATTTCTTTTTTGTTTATTTGACAGAATCCCATATATCCCAGACTAGCCTCAAACATACTGAGAACAACCTTATTCTTTTGTCTTCCAGCCTCTTCATCCCAAAGGCTTAGATTACAGGCATGTGCCTCGTATCTGATTTATGCAATGCTGAGGAATGAACACAAGGCTTCATTTGTGCCAGCCCAACACTCTACCAATTAAGCTATGTCTCTACCCCAAAATTATGGCTTCTTTATTTTACATAAGCATCCTTCCATACCGCTATCATCTTCCTTTCATTTTCCTGACTACTCAATGACTCATTAAACAAATGTACCACAACATACAAAACACACTCCACTTAAACACACACTCAACTCCAGTGCAAAAATAGATCCCTTGTCAAATAAATTCCTAAATTATTTGCATTTTATACACTCTTCAGAATCCAAGTACTTATCTGGAATAAGCGGATCTGAAAGATCAGACTACATTAAAAAAAAAAACAAAAAAAAAACCTGTTCCTAGAACTATGGAAGGGGCCAGTTAAATAGCTCAGTGGTTAAGTCAGTGGTTCTCAATCTGTCAGACATTTACATTACGATTCATAACAATAGCAAAATTAATAGTTATGAAGTAGCAACGAAATAATTTTATGGTTGGGGAGTCACCATAATATGAGGAACTGTTTTCAAGGATTAGGAAGGTTGAGAACCACTGGGCTGAATAAGCGCACTTACAGCTCTTGCAGAAGACCTGGGTTTGATTCCCAGGACCCACATGGTGGCTCACAACCACCTTTCAAGTCCATGCCAATGGATCCAAAGCCCTCCTCTGGCCTCCAATGGCTACTTCATACACATGGTGCACATAAATACATGCAGGCACACATACACATAAACAAATAAAACAGTACAAGCATGCAAGAACATCTCTTTCTAAAGAAACCCCAGAGGCAAAGGGTCTCTGAATAGTAAGAATCATATACAGGGACCAGCAATATGCATCAGCAAGTAAAGGCATTTTTACCACCAAGCCTGACAACCTGAGTTCAAACCTCAGAACCCTTAGGATAGAAGAAGAGAACCAACTTCTGCAAATTTCCTGACTTCAATGTCAAAGTGTACACACGCAGACAGACAGACACACAAACACACACACACCCCTCAATGCCTTACCAACATACTCTGTATCTACTGCCTAAAGACCAGCTTTATTAAACTTTGACTTATAGCATATTACTTGCTTTCTTTAAGGCTCTTGTCCATGTATGTTAACTTTGTCATCAAAACCCAGGAAACAGTACCAACCTGTTGCCACTTGGATATTGTACTACAATGTCATGGTCTTCATCAATGCCACAGACAGTTCCAGTCGTAGTTAAAGTCTCAAACATCCCATCAGTCCATCCTCCATGACCGTGCTGCAAAGACTGGACAATTTCTAGGTCAAGGTCTATATTTACCAGGTCACCAATCTGCAATCCACCAGGATTCCTGTTGCCATTCTGCTCACCTGTAATTCCAAACATAATTAATGAAAGGGAAAAATGAATGAAAAAAGAGTCACTGTAGTATGTAACTGCATTCATGTGCGTGTGATCACTACACTGCTATCATGACTGATTTAGAAGTCTATGTTAATTTTCCATTTCTTCTCTATCTTCTCTAATCAGTGTGGTGTCTTTGTGCGAGAGTCTACTCTTTACATTTACTTTACCTCGTTTATTGATTAACAACTATTCATGGTATTCCCTTAGTACCTTTTAGTGAAACAGTTTATTTTTAACTGACACATGATTATTGTGTCATTGCAAATTCTTCCTTCTAGCTATTTTGAAACCACACTGTGCTACAAGACACCAGAACTAACTGCAACTGTGTGCCTAGTAACCCACCCCTTCTTCAAGTGCGTTAGTAAACACAAATAGTATCTAAATACTTTTAAAGTGCCATATCATCTCAATGTGTTTTACGAACTCAGTATAAGATTCTAGAACTGAGTTTTCAATTACAGAAAAAGCACACAAACATTAACTGAAACACTGCAGCAATGTGGGCCAGGGTGTATATGTAGCTAAGTGGTGTGTCTCTTGTCAGGCAGGTGAAAGGCACTGAGCTCAATTCTCAGAACCACAAAAAAGTAAAAGAAATTATAACAATAAAATCACTCATTAAAAATTAAGTAGAGGCAAAATCTACAATAGACTACCAACCCTAAATCAGAGTAGTGAGTCCTGGAGGATAAGAACAGTCAGAGATTTGCTTGCATGACTTGCTGACTAGCTCGGCACCAGAGCAACAGTAACCACAGTAACTAAACACAGACTGTAAAGGGGAAACCCCAGATTGCTTCCTCAAATGTGCTTAGTATTATTTAAAAAAAAAAAAAAATCTGGGGCTGGAGAGATGGCTCAGGGGTTAAGAGCACTGGCTGCTACTCAGAAGGACCCAGGTTCAATTCCCAGCATCCACATAATAGCTCACAACTGTCTGTAACTCCAGTTCCAGAGGATACAGACATACATGTAGGCAAAACACCAATGCACATAAAATAAAAATAAATAAATCTTAAAAAGAAAATATTGCATTTTTGTTTAAGACCAATTAAAGATTCTGGGGTAAAGATTTAAAATCATAAAACACTGCACTGTGGGATCTAAATGTTCATGTTGAGCCTACACTCTTCTTATAAGGGCACAAAGAAAGTAAGATAGGAGCTCACCAAAACACATGTGTATTTTCCTACTTTCTCCTTTAAAAAGAAACTGAGGGATGCTGTAAGAAAGTAGCACTTTTTGACAAAAAGACCAGTTAAAGGACTCAGGAAGAAGAGGACACCGCACAAGCGAGGAGGGCATCTGGGGACTGAGGACTCCACCACAAGAACATGGCAATAATGAATTTGCAAATGAAAGCAGTTTTGGTTTTCACTCTTTTAAAACAAATCTATGTTATTTATATTTACTATAGTACCTTGATCTTGGAGCTGTTCTTTTACTAAGAAATCAGTTATACAGTAACCGTGTGGTATTTATAAGGAATAAATTGTCAAATTCTTTCCTCAGTAGTGTGGGAGACACAACACTGATATAATCTAATAAATTTTTCAGTGGTGTAAGTTCAGTTAAAAGTGTATTAAATACATATTATGACACAAATAGTACACCAATTCCCAAGACGTAACAACGCCTTCCGAGCCTAAATAAACCATAGAAAAGGAATAAATGTTTTAAAACTAAAATGAAACCAAATATTTCTCTACATAACTTTTAATGATAATCCCATTTTTTCCTGTCCAATTTAGACATGATCCTAATCCTCTGAACCTGACTCATTATTTGGCAATTTTCCTGAATCTGCTAACTCACCTAGCACAGGACAATGATCTCTGTAGAAAGAACCTCCTTTGGCATCCTGGACACACTTCAGATCAGACTAAGAAAAGAAACCAGAAAAAATAACCCATGAAAACGTCAAGTGTAACGCAGTACCTGAAATAGTCAAGTTTCACTCAGCACACAGCAGAGGGCAGTCCAGGTGGAGAGCCACACTCAACCCCGCCTCCAAAACACCTTACACTAGAACAATGATCTTCAGACAGACCTGATTTACCTTCAGCTATCTAATTTTAAATTCTGAAGTTAACAAAGAACTTCAACACAAATATTTTCAAAAGCACATGGCAAACAATAAACTCTAAGAAATACCCAGTACGGCCCGGCCGTGGTGGTACACGCCTTTAATCCCAGCACTCGGGAGGCAGAGGCAGGCGAATCTCTGTGAGTTCGAGGCCAGCCTGGTCTCCAAAGCGAGTTCCAGGAAAGGTGCAAAGCTACACAGAGAAACCCTGTCTCAAAAAAAACCAAAAAAAAAAGAAAAGAAATACCCAGTACTTGTGAAGTGCACAACACATTGACATTTTAAAATAATTTTACCCAAAATAAAACAAAACCTCACCACATTTGATCCTTTCAAACACATTTTTTAAAGATACAAGGCAAATACATGTAAGAAGGGAAATTAAGTAAGATCAAGAGGCCTGCAGGACCAGAGAATGGAACCAAACCCAGCCTTTGATCCTCTGCAGTTAATTTCTCTATCTGGTTAATTAAGTTCCTTCCCACTTATTTTTACAAGAAAATATATTCATTCTTACTTAGGTACCTGAATGAGAAGACACCTGTGGTTACAAGTTACAGGAAATATGGACATTAATCTTTGGTGTTACTTACAAAAAACTTAAAGTGAGTTAAAGAAAAAACAGAAAACAAGCAAAAAAACCAGATGCACTAAAAAATGTCTAAGAGTTATTGGTGTGTATAGGAGGTAACCGCATGTCCACACAGAACCCAATGTAACAGGTCATCCTGTACTAAACATGAAATGTTACTCAACCCCAGACCAGACAAAGGCTTTAATCATTTTAATGTACTAGTTTGACTCAGTAATTCTCCCTCTAAAAACCTATCCTAAGAATAGGCCCATAACACACAAAAACACAGGCAATCACACTGCTGCCACCCTGCCTGCAGCAGTGGAGAGGGAAGACATTTCATCAAATAATGGCACTAACCTCATGAACCACCAACCTGTCTTCATTTAACTACCTGAACACACATAGCACATACATCTGCATGTGAAACAGTCAGTTGGAATCCTTAAAACACTCAATTCAAAAGCATGCAGTGGCATATGAGTCACGAATATGTAGTAGGTTAGGAAATTAGCTGACTAAACAATTAATTTAATCATTAATTAATTTAAATTATAAATATAAATCAATTAATTAAATAATCACTAAATAATTAGTGATAAAATTTGGCATTACTAAAGCATTTGCTAGCCAGGCAGTGGTGGCACATGCCTTTAATCCCAGGACTTGAGAGGCAGATGGAAACAACATCTCTGAGTTCAAGGCCAGTCTGTTCTACAAAGCAAGTTCCTGGACAGCCAGGGTGACACAGAAACCCTGTCTTGAAAAACCAAAGAAAAAAACAAAATGAAAAATTTTAAAAAATATATAATTAGCATTTAAGTTTATATTGGCTTTCATATATAAATACAATATAGTAAGGAGGCATGTGGCTAATTTTCTGCTCTCCAAATGGAAGGCAAAGACAGCTGAGAAAAGAATGAAACAAAGAATTCTCTGGGCTGGGGATATTGTTCAGTGCTAGGGCACTTGCCTAGCATGCACAAAACCCTAGTACTACAATTAAAATAATAATAATTCCTTAAATGGGAATATATTTAGAATTGAAAGGTTATTAAAGAAATTTGTATTTCAGAATTAATAAACAGTAAGGCTGGATATGGTGCCCACATAATCTTTAATCCCAACACTCAGGAGGCAGAGGCAGGCGGATCTCTGTGAATTCCAGGCCAGTCAGGGCTACACAGTGACACCCTGTCACAAAATAGCATCAGTGTTGGAACAATGGTCCATGAAATACAGAAATATAAAGCATTCTCTTGAGTAAACCTACATTGTTCTCCATTTAATTCTAGACGTTACCAAGTCTATCACTTTTTTGCTTTATCTTGTTTTTCATTTTTTCAGAAGTTCTCATTATGTGCCCAAGATGGTCTTGAACTTGAGATCCTATTTCCTCCACCTCTGGAGTGCTGAGATTACATGTACTACAAGACAATCACATTTAATCATCAATTCTATACTTTAACAAAAAACTACAAGAGGGGCTGGAGAGATGGCTCAGTGATTAAGAGCACTGACTGCTCTTCCTGAGGACCCAGGATCAATTCCCAGCACCCACATACTAGCAGCTTTTAACTGTTTGCAACTCCAGGTCCAAGGGACTCAACACCCATGAATATAAAATAAGAACTCTTAAAAAAAAAAAAAAAAAAAAAAAACTTTCTTAAAAATAATTTATACTTTTTATCAGCTACCACAGCATAGAATACAAAAACCACCTCATGTTAATCCTAGTCTCCAAATTCTACTCCAAGGAGTAGCCCTATCGATGATTCTTATTTTTGGTTTAGATTTTAAAAGCTAAATCTACTAGTTATTTTACTATAGCAAAAGCATATTTGCTATGACGTAGTTTATACTGGGTCAGGTGTGAGGAGCTGATGTCCTCACTCTACAGACCTCCTTTCCTGCTGCAGACCCGTGGCTCAGACACCTCTGCTCCAACAGCAGAGAGAGTGCAGGAAAGCAGGAGCCGGACCTGCTGGCACCCTGGCCTGCCCACTGCGCCCACTGCAGGGCTGTGCTTTCACTACTCACCATGCCCTCAAAGCCAACTCTGTAAAGGTTCTTAGCACCGTTATCCCAGAGAACATACGCTGCACTGTGTGGGCTCGACGCACTCCAGTCTTGGATTTCCGTTACCTAACAAAGTTTAGAGGGAAAAAATATTTTTTAAAAAAATGAAAGAAGCCAGGCAGCAGTAGCACACGCCTTTAATCCAGGCACTCAGAAAGCAGAAGCAGGAGGATCTCTGTGAGTTCAAGGCCAGCCTGGTCTACAGAGCAAGTTCAAGGACAGCCAGAGATGCATAGAGAAACCCTGTCTCGAAAAAACAAAAGACAAAAAAAAATAGCAAAGAGGTTAGATGCTTTAATTATACTGAAATCTTAAAGAGTTTTTCATCAACTTATGTAACAAAATAAAGAAAAATACCGATTTGCCAAATATGTCACTTTTAGCATGGTTGAATTATCAATAAAGTCCTATTTTTCTAGAATTATAAGTTTTATTAAGATAGAATAGCCCTGAGTAGCCTATCCTCACCTCAAACTCAAAACTCTCCTGCCTCAGCCTCCCAAGAGACAGAAGTGCAGGATGTGTGTTTATGATGGTTTTTTCCCTTGTGGTCCTCAGCCCTGGGCTTCTCTGCATGCCAGGCAAGCACTCTACTGCCGAGTCGTACCCCTGTCTGCTGTCTTGCTGTTTGTTTGGGGGGAGCTGCCAGAACACAGCCTAGGGTGACCTCAAACTTCCTGTTTGGATTACAGGGTTATGTCACCACATCTGACCTTACCCGAAGAGTTAGGAAGTACATTCTAATATCACTGTAGAAAATTTTAATTGGGAGGCAAAGGAATTACATTAATATGTGGTGATATATTGTGTACCCTAATAAAAATTATCTGAAGATCAGAGACTAGAACAAGCTACTAGATTAAACATAGAGGCCAGGCGGTGGTAGCACACACCTTTAATCTTCACTCTGTAGTCCAGGCTGGCCTCGAACTCACAGAGATCTGCCTGCCTCTGCCTCCCGAGTGCTGGGACTAAAGGCGTGCGCCACCACTGCCCAGCACACACCTTTAATCTTAACACAGGGAGGCAGACTGTCTAGATCTCTGTGAGTTCAAAGCCACCCTAGACTACATGAGATTGACTCAGTCTAGGAAAGAAAACAGCCAGACAGTGGTAGCACGCACCTTTAACCTCAGTACTTGGGAGTCACACACCTTTAATCCCAGCACTAGGAAGAGTGAAACAGAAAGTGATGTGGCTGGGCGGAGAGAGGAATAGAAGGTGTGAGGAGACAGGAACTAACGCCTTTTGGCTAAAGGCTTTTCAGCAGAAGCGTCCCTTTCAGCTAGAGGCTCTTTGAGGCTGAGGAGTTGGTAAGGTAAGAGGTGGTGGCTGTGGCTTGCTCTGCTTCTCTGATCTTTTACCCCAGTAACAGGCCCAGGTTTATTATAAGATCTTTAGGAATTCATACAACACTAATAGGTTATCAAAAAATGAATAATGTGAATTATAAAATCCTTTAAGAACGCAGCTTACTATTTTTAGCCAATTATCCAATACATAATTTAAAATCTTTAAGCACGTATCTAAACAACTGGAGATAAACCTGTTTTCTAGTCAGCTCAAGATGACAAATGCAAAGTTGTGAAGAATGGCAGTGAGTGACACGGAGCTGCTCAGTTGCCAAGAAAGCAGGCCACCCCAGCTACTACAGCACGTTGTGGTGGGCACACAGACAGCGTCCCACCCACAGACAACTGACTCTTAAAACTTACCTGGTTAAACTCTAACTTGTTCTCTCTTTCCCCCTCCCTGCCACACACAAACACACCCACACATGCATGCAGCTGGCCCTCTCAGCTGTCTAAGAACAGGGAGCTGCCCACATACAATCCAAATGACTTTTCTCCAAACACTCATATCCACCAGCACTTCACAAACATAAAAAACAGACTATTATTACTTTAAATAAAAATATACATTAAAGCTGGGCGGTGGTGGCGCACGCCTTTAATCCCAGCACTCGGGAGGCAGAGGCAGGCAAATCTTTTTGAGTTCGAGGCCAGCCTGGGCTACCAAGTGAGTTCCAGGAAAGGCGCAAAGCTACACAGAGAAACCCTGTCTCGAAAAACCAAAAAAAAAAAAAAAAAAATACACATTAAACTTTCTTTCCTGCTCTGTACTAAAGAAATAGTTTTGTGGGGTAGGTATTTGGCAATGCTTTTGTAGAAATAAAATGATTTCATTTTTAAGATTTAATGAACCATTTGAGAAATGCTTTAAATTACTAATAAGGCCATATATTCTTTTAAATTTTTATATGTGTTGTAAAAAACAGAATATGTATACTTTTAATTAAAAAAAAAGAAATGAACACGCTTATAATTATTCTACTACCTTTAAAAATGAATGGCATAGTGGTGGTGGCGCATGCCTTTATTCCCAGTACTCAGGAGGCAGAGGCAAGCTGATCTCTGTGAATTTGAGGCCAATCTGGTCTGCAAAGTGAGTTCCAGGCCAGCCAGGGCTACACAGAGAAATCCTGTCTCAAAAAAAAAAAGCAAACAACAAAGAATTCCAAGACTTTTCAAGACCCTGTGTGCTCATTATCTCCTCCCCTCCACCTGTCTCTCAAAAGGCAACCATCTTTCTAATTTAGTCCATCACTGCCCTACCGTGCTTCAGGAGTCTTACCAGTTAACCACCGCACAATCTCCTACAGCAAGGCTGTAATGTGCTAAAGTGAACATGCAACATGTTGTCTGTAACAATAACCTTCCTTCAGATTTGAACATAACCAGTACTTCATGTTGTAAATTTAACACTACCTTAAGTAGTTCTAATTTAGATTGATTTATTTCTATTTATTTGTGCATATGTGTGCCTGCATGAGATTATGACCTGCACATGCATGCAGGAGCTCACAGAGGCCAGAAAAGGGCTTTGGGTTCCCTGGACAAGAGTTACAAGCAGTTGTGAGGCCACCATGTAGGTGCTGGGAATGGAACCCAGATCCTCTGCAAGAGCATGCAATGCTCATAACCACTGAGCCATGTCTCCTGCCCCCAAAAATCTATTTTATTAATATTTTATTAATTTATCAGTATGAGTGAGGTCCTAGGTTCAACCCTCAGTACCACAAAAAAAGAAAAACATAGATGATGGATCAGGGTTTCTTCAACAAATAAATGACTATTTTGTGGTTTTGTTTTTGTTTTTTGAGACAGGGTTTTTCTGTGTAGCTTTGGAGCCTGTCCTGGATCTCTCTCTATAGACCAGGCTGGCCTTGAACTCACAGAGATCCGTCTGGCTCTGCCTCCCGAGTGCTGGGATTAAAAGCGTGCACCATCACCACCAGGCCAATAAATGACAGTTTTAAAGGCTTATAATTTGTGAAGTTAGGCAATGAATGCCTAGGAATCTGCTTTGACATATGAGATTTTTTTTCCATCAAAACTGTTTTTAAAAGAAGGAATATGACTTAGCATATATAAAATAGCAAATAACAAACCAAAACTGAAGTGGTAATTCACAGCTTCAGGAATGCCTACTTTTATTCCTTTTCCTGTTCTCCCAAAAGTGCTGACTGGCTAGTGTTCTGTTGTTTGTCAACGTAATACAAGCTCAAGTCATCTGGGAAGAAGGAACCTTAACTGAGGGGCTGCCTTGATCAGAGCCTGTAAGAAAGCCTGTAGGCTTTTCTTGATTAAGAAGTGGGAGGTGCCACCCGTAAGCAGGTAGTCTTGAGTGAGCAGGCCATAGGAAGCCAATAAGCAGCACTCCTCACAGCTTCTACTTCAGTCCTTACGTCTCTAGACGGTGGGATATAACCTGCAGGACACAGTACCAGCCTCACCCCAGGCTAGTTTCTGTCAGTGTTCTTGTCACAGCAACAGAGAGCAAACTGCAACAATCAAGTCCCACTTCTGTGGCTTCAGGGTGCTGCCTCACAGCAGCTGTCTTACAAGACATCTGCAAAAATCACTTCTAATCCTCTGCCTACATATCTGTGGGAAAGGAGACAAAATGATTTTCAGAGTAAAAATATTCATTTTTGCCTTCTTTGAACTTTCTAAAGCTGTGCTCTACCAAAAGATAGAGTATGTAAAGCATAACGGGACAAAGAACAAGGGAGAGAGAGCGGCACCCAGGGAAAATAACAGGACATAAAAAGAGCCTGCGAGGTGGGGCGCCAAGCACATGGGGTAATTCATCCAGACTATAGCCAATGTTGAACAGGCTGAAAGCTCTTATCATCAAGATCTCCACTGCCAGGTGGTGATGGCAAACACCTTGAGTTCAAGGTCAGCCTGATCTACAGAGCCAGTCCCAGGACAGCCAGGGCTACACGGAGAAACCCTGTACCAAAAAAAAATTTTTTAATTAAAAAAATCTCCACTGCTGGTATATTTTGCTGACCTAAGAACACACTGCCCACTCCACCTGGCCCAAATCTCAAGGGCATCAAGTGTACTGTCTGTTTGGACTATGTAGTGATGACATTCCATTTGCCCCTCTGCCACCCATTTCCTGATAGAAACACTAGCAAGGTGTCTGTCCCCCTCTCTCTCCCACAGACACACACGGAGGTGGGCTCTGGTGAGCTTAGAAGCAAACACTAGCCAGCAGTCACCTCCTCTGACAGTGTTCTTACCCACCGGCGAGCCTACTCCTGCGACCTGGCATCCTGCGTGGGGCTCTGTGTTCCCGGAACTCATGCATGGCCGTGCCTACTGTCCAGAAGGGTTCTCACAGATTTTAGAGATGCCAAAGAAAAACAAGTCACCACAGACCACTCTGTTCCTATTTTTCTGAGAGCCTTCATCTAAAAGGAACATTCTGCCCTGCCGATACAATAGCAAGGTCTGTGACTGCTACTTTCTTTTTCAAAACATAAACACCAATTGCTATAGGGACAATACTAAACAAAAAGTAATAAATGAAAATAAAAAACAGTAAACACAAAATAAGGCTATTAGTTACTTTGGAGGAGGGTAGCAAATGGGACAGGCACAGAGGCTTTTAAAAACTCTCATATATTCTATTTTTTTGGGGGGGGGAGGTACTGTGGGACACACTGTATGCTGTAAATATATGTTACTATGATTGATTGATAAAACACTGATTGGCCAATAACCAGACAAAAAGGATAATGTAGGCAGGACAAGGAGAAAAAGGAATACTGGGTGAAAAAAAAAAGGGGAAGTAAAAAAACACTAGCCTGCCGCCCAGGGAACAGCATGTAAAGACAACAGGTAAAGCCACGGAACACATGGCAACATATAGATTAACAGAAATGGGCTGAGTTTACATATAAGAGCTAGTCAATGGTAGGCCTGAGCTAATGGCCAAACAGTTTAATTAATATAAGCTTCTAAATGATTATTTTATAAACAATTACGGGGTCTGTAGGGCTAAACAAGACTAAAAAAAAACTTCAGCTACAAATGGCACCCAGCGTGGGGCTAAACAAAACTAAAAAAAAAAAAAACCCAACTACAGGGAGGTGTTTGAGACAGGGTTTCTCTGTGTAACAGTCCTAGCTGTCCTGAAACTCACTCTGTTCACCAGGCTGGCCTCCAACTCACAGAGACCCACCTGCCTGTGCCTCCCAAGTGTGCCACAACAGTCAATGTTTATGTTTTCCACAGCTCTGTGAATCACATACAGGAACACACTGAGCTACACCTTCAGCCCCTTAGATAAAATTTTAGCAGCAGGAACATCAAGAACACGAGGCGCTACTTAGGAAGGACTGGTCCACATCGAGTCCTCAGGAAGGCACCTCTGGACCACCAAACAGCAAGATGGAGCCTGAGGTAAAATCCACCTAACAACCTTCTCAGGAAACAGCAACACTCACAAATAAACAGGAGCACTATTTTCTCCCCAAAAGAAAAAGAAAGAAATGAAGATTTTTAAAACTTGTTCCTGGCATGAAAATAAATGGGCCAAGACATGTGCTTACAGCAGCAATAGAAATCTCAACTCCCAACACTCCCGAAAACATGGTGAATTTTTCAAAGTCCATACCTTTCCTCTACGCCCATTACCCCCATCTTGGTCTTCCCACTGCCAGTCCACTCCTCGTACGACTCTGGCACCTGCAAAGATTCCTCTGGCTGTAATCTTCTTAGATTTTCTACGAGACTCTAACAGAACCCTAAAAACAAAAGTTTTGTTTTCACGTTTTATAAAGCTGAGAAATGGTGACTTCTATGTAAAAAAGCAAAACCCTTTATGGGGAAAGTGTTAGCTCCTTAAAAGAAAGATAACACTGCACTGCCCATTTTACAAAGGAGGAGCTCAAGGCATGAAAAAAAGGTTTTCCTCATAGAAAGTTGAAAGCGATGGAATCAGAACAGCCTCCTAGTGTGAGCACCTCAGGCTATGGCTCTAAGTGTCCTCTGTCAGGGCCTACTGAAGAGAGTATCCCAGGGTAAGCTGCAAACCACACTTGGCTGTGACTTAGGGCACAGTTAGTGGCAGCACTTTGGTCACCTCAAGAGCATGATCTGTCTACAAAGAACAGTAGATCTCTATTTATGTCAAATGTCATCAAGAACAGTAAGCTGGGTTCAGAGTGGGGGTGGAGGGGTATCCTAAGAATCTGTGAAAAGTGAGCAATGAATCAAACGCCCAGAGAACTGCATGAATGCCAGAAAACTGAATCTGAAGCCAGGTTTGACTACACTGCACTATCTCTGGAGTACTGCACACCATGAGCACTTACACACTACACTGTCTCCAGAGTCCTGCACACCATGAGCATTTACACACTACACTGCACTGTCTCTGGAGTACAGCACACCCATGAGCATTTACACACTACACTGTCTCTGGAGTACTGCACACCATGAGCACTTACACACTACACTGTCTCCAGAGTACTGCACACCATGAGCACTTACACACTACACTGTCTCTAGAGTACTGCACACCATGAGCACTTATACACTACACTGTCTCTAGAGTACTGCACACCCATGAGCATTTACAAACCTTGGGAAAGATTTCACTCAATTATTTGAGCCAGCTGCTTTCTCTAAGGCCATATGCCCCTTACTTGTCTACATCCTTTTTACTCAGATTTTAGACTTTTGTTTTTTGAATGTTATCTCATTGTTATATTCATTTTTAAAAACCTATTTGTCGTTCCTTAATTTTAATTTTAAGCAAAAACCAAAAATAACTTTTTTTTTCTCCAAAATACTCAGTTTGAGTGGCAGGACTGTAATTTAAAATGAGATGCTGTGACTCAACGTGACTCAATGTGACTGAAATGAGATACAGTTTCCCTATTACTCCTAGCTATGGCTCTCTAGATGACTTGCTCAAGTGCAGTATCCTATCTACATGAGAAGACTCCACTACCTAAAACTCCACACCCATTAACTATATCCTTGTCATCAATCCTAAGATCTTAGACATTATCCTGTCCAAAACATCATACGATAATCATTCATGATCCATCATTCTTCTTAAATTATAAACTCCTTAAGAAAACTATCTTCAAATCACAAATACAGAAGCTACCATATGGTCTCTCTCTGTGTGTATATGCATTCATGTATGCATGCATCTGTGTGTGCAGGTGTGCATACACATGTGTGAAGGTCAGGGGTCAATGTTAGGTGTCACTCAATCACTTTTCCACCTTACTTTTTGAAAGGATGTCTCACTGAACCTGGAGTTTGATGTTCAGCTAGATGGACCAGCCAGAGCTTCAAGTTTCCTCCTGTCTGTCTCTCCAGCCTGGCATTATAGAAATGTGCCATTATACCCAGCTTTCCTCAGGTGCTGGATATTTAAAGGGAGCACCCCAGGGCTGTGCAGCAAGCATTTTACCAACTGAGCCATGCCTCAAGTCCCTATCCATAATAAATGCCTGTTGACTCAATTAGCAGGCCACAGTATTCATCAGATAGAAATTAAAACAAAGGGTATAAAAAGAAGAAAATTATTCAATGGGGGGGGGGGGGTTGGGAGGTGCCATGCATTTCCAACTGTTCAGCAATGCTAAGTCTCCATGCTAAAAAAAAAAAAAAAAAAGAAATAGCCGAAATTATCGTATAAAAAATCAATAATAACTGGAGATCAGCCTGGATTACATACTGAGTTCAAGGCCAGCCAGAGCTATACAGTGAGACCATGTCTTTAAAGAAAGAAATAAGAAACCCACATATAATAAAATTCTACCTTCACAGGGTCTCTCACAAATCAACAAGTTCAATCCCACCTAGTCTAGCCTGCTATTCATTTCCCCCAAAACTAAATCTAAACTGTCAAAAGCGACTTTCTAATCCTACTTTTAAAGCTAATAGGATAAAACAAAAAGTCATGACTGAAGAAAAACTTGTTTCCCTTACCGTTCACTTCCTGGTGTAGTAATCCTGTAAAAGCGATGCCTTAAGTGATGTTTATCTCCATGATAACAAACGGTGCACAAGTCATAATTTGTGCACTCTGCACATTTCCATCGAATGCCAATGATCGGTTGTTGGCGGCAAGTATCACACATAGTTCCATCATGCTTGATGCCTATGGAAACAGTCACATGCTTAGATTACTCTCAAATACTTATTTGCACACTACTGTGTTGGGGAAACATAACAGCATATTACAGGTTATTTTAACAAAGGACAGGAAAAAAACCTCAACACATCTAATTTCAAGGTAACAGATCTGAAATACTTTGATCAATATAAATTATAAGCTAAACATGTTTTCTACTCTCATTAATAAAACACAAACCAGTATTATTTCCCTAGCTCTCATCCACAAATGGAAATCTGGACGTAAAGAAATCTTTTCCCACCATCTAAGCATTTCTGACTATAAATACTCAAAACCAGAGGCTGATTAAAGCACTTACAGTGTGAAGGTGAAGCCCAGGGTTCAGATGTGCAAAACCCACATAATGCCAAGTGGGCTGCCTGCCTGTAATCTCCAGGACTCAGATGTGGACCAGGCTACACGAGCCTTTATCAGATATTCCGTCCCAACAAATGGACAGCATACCCAATGTCAACCTCAGGCCTCCCTCCACATGCACACACATTTGTGTCCACACACCTGCAAACAGGTATGATACAAACATACACACATATATATGAAGGGAAAAAAATCCCTTCGGGACTGTTGAGAGAACTGCAACTTATGTCCAGGTAAATAATTACTCCAAAAGAAATGGACTTTTATCATCATGGTATCATGGAAACAAACCATCAATATACTTAATAAGCACTTAGCAGTGTTTGCCCCCATAAAAACTAAGTTTTAGAAAACTATTAGCTAAGGGTGGGGATGGTGACACACCCTGCAATCCTAGCACTTAAGAGATGGGAAAAAGGGATCAGGAATTCAATGTCACCCTTAGTTACACAGCAACTCCCAAGCCACCCTAAGCTACATGAGGAGGCAGTAAGATGCCTCAACAGCTCAGAATGCTTGCTGCCAAGCCTGACACCCGAGTACCATCTTTAAGACCCACTCAAGAGAAAGGAGGAAAACAACTCTGACAGGTTGTCTTCTGACCTCCACACACTCTCTAAGGCACATGTGAACAAACTCAATAAATAGTAAAAAAGAAAGATTAGCAATTGGTGCTAAGAGCTGGCTCAGAGGTTAAGAACATAAACTGTGCTTCAGAGGAAGTAATTTCTGTCCCCAGCACCCACGACAGGCAGCTCAGCTCCATGGAATTCAGCATCCTTTTCTGGACTCTGAAGGGCATCTGCACTCCAGACACTTAAAAATCTTTAAATGGAAAACAACACTATAGTGCGTGATCCTCCCCTTAAAGGACGAACTTGTTACTACTTGTAACCTCCCTCAGATTGCTCACATAGGGATGAAACAGACACTGAAAGACCACGACAAATTAAGTAACCTTAGGATTAGGGTAATTCTTCTGTATTATCCTTGACACTATTGTCACTGCTCAGAAGTTGAAACCAGAATGCTTTAAGTAGCATGTGGCTTTGTGACACCAGTGTCACCACTTCACAAGCACATCCTGGCCACTCAACTAGAGCTATGAGCTAGCTCAAGCTCTTTGTGACCTCATATAAAATGTTAATACACATTTCAAATTAGAGGCAGGCAGAGAAGAAGGTGGAATTTTGATTAACTAAGATTAGCCATGCTAAAGATTCTCAGTGGGTAACATGCAAATCTTTTATCTGTATTATTTTCTCCTTTGGAGAAAGCACAATGTTCTTTAGTGGTAAGGCAGTATGTTCTAAAACTCCAAAAATGTGCAGTATGTTGCCATGATCATAGTGTCTCTTCAAGGCAATAGAAACCCATATTTTTTAACTCCTCATGGAGGCAGGCAGGGATTCAAATATCACTTTCTATAATATCAAGAGGGCAGAATCTCAGTACTTGAAGTGCAGAGGCAGGAGGACTGAATTCAAGCTCAGCCTAGGCTACATGGGGAGAACTTATCTCAAAAAGAAAAGAGAAGAAAGAAAGGGAGGGAAGCTATCAACCAAAAGCCAATAATAATTCTCTAGTTAGGCTGAGGATATGCCTCGGTAGCAGAGCTTAAAGTATCTATGCAGTCAACAGCCAGCACCAAAACGAATCAGAATGAGTAACGGAAGAGTTTCAAAGAAATGATAGATGAGTAAACCTTTCAAAGAAAGGAAGAAGTCATAGAAGAACAAGAACAAGAGGCGCCATACTTTAGCAGGACCATAAAATATAATCAAAGGTTTGAGATAAATTACAATTAGACTGGGAACTGACAAGTTCAGACATGGTTTCTGACCTGTATATTGACAGTGTTATATTAAATGATTAAAAATAGAGTATGTGATTTAAGACCCTAATTCTATAATGTACTAGTTACACAAAATTTTAACTCAGTTTAAAATATGCTAGGTCCAATATTGTCATTTAAAAACTGAGAAAACACTTCCTTTCAAATGGAGGCCAAAGCAATACAGAGGTGAACCTTAAGGGCTTTAATATGTATTCATTGAATGTACTAAGTCTTCAACTTGAACAACCTAGTGATCAAAATTACATATCCTACTGGTCAAATTCTATAGCCTTTAAACAGAGGATACTCAATACTTAAAACCCCAGTTCCTCACCGAGTATTTGATCATTCAGGTGTGAATTAAGCCCACTCCCCCCAAAGCTCTGGTGCTCCAGATACGTGTATCCTCCCAGTTCCTTTCAGTTGTTTTCTCTCCAAAGCTGCCAGGGAAAACAGCCCTCAGCCTAGCAGATGACTCACCCACCACCTCCCACCAGTTAATCAAGACACTCGTACACTATGGCAAGTTTGGTCTGGCTATCAATCATCAAAGTTATCATCAGCCACAGATCCCAAAGAAATTATTCTCTAGTCTAAGGAGACTGCAAACTGAAATTTAAAACCACAGAAGCACAGCCAGTATCTATCAGTGCTTCAGTCAGTGAGTGCACGTCAAAGGGCTGAACTGCAACTCTCATCTGCTCCTCCGTCTGGGGTCATGAAGGAAGGCACAGCAAAGGGGCTTGGCTCTTTCCTTTATCACAGAATGATTCAGCAAGAAAAAGGTACACAGGAAATCCTTAAATCAGACAAAATGTTTGTAGTCATCCCTTAGATTATTAAGAATGGATTATACTATATACTATGTTTTAAAATCACCATATAATCAATAGTATATAACGTTCATTTTATAACAATAATTCTGGAATTACTTCTATTGTCATTACTACAAAAGTTCATAAAGTGAAAACATGTTCTCTCACAAGTTTTATCAGTAAATTCTGAAGTTCATCAACAAATAAATGTTTTTGAAGGGTCATAATCATCTGATACAGGACAATGAAAATGATCATTCAGTTTTCCTAAAACAGAAATGTTTGTAGAAATGTCAAGAATCACAATATATCTTATGAATTTTTAAAAACACATAGGCCTGTGAGATGGCTCAGTGGGTAAAGGTGCTTGCCACCAAGCTGGATGACATCACTAAGTTAGATCAATGGAACTCACTCAATAGTGGAAAGAGAACCAACTCCCGGAAGTTGTCCTTTGACCTCCATCTATACATAATAAATGTGGCTTTTTTAAAGTAAATAAAGAAAAAATTCACAGATTTTAGTACTGAAATCAATGTATACTGTTTTAGATATGCATTATACTAATTATATTCCTAAAGAACTAGAGTATTTTTAAATGAGGGAATATGACGACCTGTATTTTTAAAATATTACCACACTGATCTAGATGCCATCCCATCTGCTCTCAGTAGCAGACACTGACACTCTACCATGAAAAAGTAGGGGTTAACTCCCCTCCTCAGAACTAACAGTGTGTGAACTTTTGGTTTTAGGTCACGAAAGCCTATGCAGATGTCAGCAGTGGTCCTATCTGGTTACTCTCACTCTCACGTGTGTTGGGAGCTTGGAGCCTAAAGCTCAAGCCTGGCTGCAATGCAGCAGCCACAGAGCAGCCAACCAGGAGGACAGAGCTACAGAGAAATACCCAAGAATCCCTGAGTGCAACCAGACCCCCCAGCTAAATCTTCAAATGCTGTAAAGTGAAGACAAGACCTTTCTTATGCTGGCTCCAAATTTCTGACCTACAGGAGCCAACACATAAGTCATTTTGCATATGGTTTTTGAGTTATGTTAGGTAACCTTGTTAACTGTAACAAATATCAAAAGCTAAAAATATAACAAATATCGAAAGTTAAAAATATCTTGTATTTGTTACAATTCTCCTACAATACAATGTACCAAAAATAAGGAACTAAATGTGATTTTTAAAAGGGAAAGAAAAGAAAATCATCAAAATAGTAGTACAAAGTTTAACCCCGTGGGCCTAGGAATGCAGGTCAGCAGTACAGAGCACTTGCCTATGATGCTCCATAAGGTTGGATTCCCAGCATTACAGAACAGGAAGAATGAACAAAAGTTAATTAGCAAATATTTCAATTTTAAGGAGGATTTTCTAAGCATGAAACAATCTCAGAAGCTACATGTGGAGTAAATGCACACACATTTGTACACACATATGCAGAGGGCTTCCCCATCTTTGTACTGACGCTGAGGATCCACACTCAGGTCCTCCACTTGCACGGCTAACACCTGACTCACTGAGCTAGCTCCCCAGCTCCCATATTCTGTTATTTATGTCTCCGAATTGCTTAAACTTTTATTAGGAGAATATTGTTAATTTTGTAATTTGACGAGAAAAACAATGGAAACCAACTTTATTTCTCAAACTGGCATAGTTCAAAGGTAAGATTTCAAGGCTGGGTGGATATATCCATCATAATCCCAGCACCACCAGGTGGAGTGAGGAAGACCGCCACAAGTTCTGGACCAGCCAAGGCTACACAGTGAGACCATGAGTCAAAAGATCAAAAATAAATAAAAATCAAAAGTAAAAGTAAAAAACTAAAAATACTATTCCAGGTTTATTAGATATGTCAAGAAAAGTCAATCAGATACTAATGAGAGAAAAATACAGACACAACCTCTGCTGAAGACATTCATACAATGTTTCAAATCATTTAAGACTTTTATCC